TTCGTTGAGATAAGATCATAATTAGTTTAATCATGTGGAGCATATGAGTTATATACGAGTGAAGAAAGAGGTCTAATAGCATTATACCTCAATTGAAAAACCAAAAAGAAGAAAACAAAAGGACCCAGGCTGTCATGAATCAGAAAAGTGTTGAAGGCCTGTAGTCGGTATAAGGACAAGAACACATGATATAAGGACTATCAAAGGGTCCATATTGCTTAATTTTTTGCTTTTGATGGGTTTACAACTTTAGAGATATTAGGTGAACTATTATTCTCTGTAATTCCCATATATTGCCATCCTTCCTTGGGGCTCTTGACAACCAACATAAAACCAAGTGCACAAGACAAAAGCTTCGTCTCTCTCTCCCTCTCTCTCTTAATTTTCTTCTTTTGTTTATTAGGAGATGAAGATGGTGGCCCCCCACCCACTTCATCCTCCCCTCAACAAGGGAAAGGAAGGCTTTATTGCATCCACCACAGCCCAATGCTTTATCTAGGAAACCTCGAGAAACCCACATCCAGGAACCAGTCACTCAGCCAGGGATAGTACCCAAGAGGGTTCAGTGGCTCATAGGCTAACTTACTAGGCTCATAGCACTAGGTCTTGGGCTTCGGTATCCTCGATTCTTACACTCTATTGGTTTTTATTGCACACCAGTCCCAACTTTGTCACCATGCTTATGCTTGCTCGTCCTCTTTATGTGACGAGAGTAACATTGTTTTACTAGTCGACAGGTGTGATTGATAAAAAATAGCAAGCTATCTCCGTTCACACATACGTTTCTCCCTTTTTGGGGTTTTCTTCTTTCTTTTTGCTTAATCTTTTGGTTCTTCTGATGTGATGGTTAGCTACTATTTTACTATTTTCGTGTAAAATTTAAAATTGCACTTCACTTGGGCTTTGAATTGAAGGCGAAATGATATTTGCACTAAGATTGAATTATAGAATAGAATACTATGATAGCACGGTTATGTAGTACTTATTGTACACGTGATATAATATGAGTGCGCGATAATGGTTTATTTTCCTCTTTTTCAGAGAATAATATCAATAAATATTTACTTATATCATGACATATATATATAATATACCACGTGATCGTATTACCATAATATTCTATAATCACTCCTTACTAAATCATATCTTTCATACACTTTTAAAGTCTATATATGGTATCAAATTGTACACAGATTAAAGCAGCTCGTTATATTCTGTTGAAGGAACAAAATGAAAAAACACTAAACATGGCCTGAGAGTCGCACATGAATGTGCTGTGATTACGCCCCTGTTGTTTTTCCAAGTGCCACCTAAACATTATTATATCATTACATGGTCCCAACTCTCCACACATAAAACATTTCCAATGAGCTCGATCGCGAATGAGTCATCATCTACGGTGAACGAAATGTCATGTGCCTCAATAATGTGAGCCAAAGGGATCGTATCATATGTCTTGTCCAAAGGTTTCTTTTTCGTATCGCATTTAAAACCATTCTGTAAAACTCACAATTATACTTGGTTTAGCACCTAAACCCAGAAGAGTAAGCCCATGTCTACCCAGAAATGCTATAATGAAGGGTTGCGGGGAGGATTCAATCTCATCAGATAGACTATAATGAGGGGTTATAATGAGCCGTCTGATCCAGAACTTCGAGATAAAAAAATATTAAACTTAAACTTTTTTAATAATTAAATAGTTGGATTAAATCCCTCATTCAACCCCGTCACCCAAACCCACCCGGCAGCACATGTTTCATCTCTGTTTTCTGGTCTCTTCACACAAGTACATCCATGCCCGTATTAGCGGTCTTTGGCTTGTATAAATCATAGGGAGTCAACCTAGGAAATAGAAGAAATAAATAAACGAGATGACGTCAAAAAGTGATCAATCTATATTTTAGCCTACGTTTCCTAAGATGATTTGGCACCATTACCTGCCTCGGTTACTCATAACCCTATTATTTTTGTAAAATAATGTGGTGGGATTAGTGACCAGAAAAATTAGGTACAAAAAATAGAGAAGTAACATCAATATTCACAAATAAGATAAGAGATCGAAATATAATCGACAGTATAATGCTACCATTGCACAAGTTTTTATTTTATATCTTATTTATTTTTCCGCAATCGCAAAAGTTGTATTCGGTCTAGACTCATTACGCAGTTCATAAACTCACAGTCGAACTCTAAAATGCAAGGGAAGAGCGAAAAGATATATGTAAAGGAAAAAATGGGGCTGGGCTGACACACCCAAGTTCCACGTATTGATGTGGAACTTTCTTGTTCATCAATCCTTTAATTTAAGCAAGTGCCACTATTCTACTCAAAAGCAAAACAAGGCAAAACGTCAAGGACGCTGCACCAAGACCTAATAAAACGGCTAAGCTTGAACTCCAAGTTCCAAGAGTAGCGTGTGACTAAGAGCATTCGATGCTGGCCCGTGAAACTGAATGGGACCTGCAATGAAAAAAATTCAGATGAGTTACAGAGGAATGTAGCGAGGCCTAAAATCAAAATTACAATAGACACATGGTTAACAACACCAAAAAAAGAAAAAGAAAAGAATCGTGAAGTTCATAGAATGTTGGTGAGAATCACAAACCAGGACTGATGTAACGATTGTTGATAGCCCAATCATTCCTCAGGGATGCAAATTTCTTGAAGGGTGCACCTGAAAATTCATTATGAATAGTTCATGTTAAGTTGTTTGTTGATTCAAGATTTGAGAGTGATCATTGTCACCTGATATGCTAAATCACTACGCCTACTACTAGCAGGAACAGAAATACTCTCGAAGAAAAATCTTTACCTTCAAGTTCCACCATTGCCTTCTTGATCACAGGCTTGAACTTACCTGGAAAACAAATTCAATATTCAGAAAATCTCC